CAGAACCCATGTCGTATCGCGTCGCACATAAAGGAGAATGGAGGCGTCATCATGACTGTTGGACTAAAATACGATGGTAAAGACACATTCCCACAAATGAAATTCGGAAGTGAATGCTACGGATTGAAGTTCGATGGACAATTCTCAGAAAACTTTCTACAAAAACTGTGCGATGGTAAGTTATCAATCGGCATAACTTGAAAAATTCATTTTACCAATCAGTTCATTTCAGTGTTTCATATTGCACAATACTTGTTTCGTTGGAAATGAATACAACATTTAATGTGACCAATCCATTCATTTATAATTCCTCTTGCAAAAAAAAGAGAAATTTGCAAACATTTCATTGCGAATCATAACTTGCACAAAGCTTCGGTAACACCAGTAAATTGTTCAGATGCGAAAGATTATGGCAACGTCATCGAATAAATGCAATATTACCGACTTCTTTTTTCAAGCGTATTCTCGAGACAGCTCTTATAAATTTCAGCTAGCTGCTTTTGTCCACCGCCATTCGTGCAATTCACAGACAACTGCGAGAAATTCGGCGAGTGCGTCTACCAGATACCTCAGAAAGTTTCATATGGTGTTGCTGCACAAACATGTGCTCACTACAGGACCGAAATGATTGAAATACTCAGTGAAAAGAAAAATAAATTCCTCAAGGGTAAGTGAATTGGTTTCTGATGGAAAATTGTTTCTAATTCAGCATATATGAAGATTCAGATTGACGATAAATAAAACACTGCCCATGATTTGTCAAGATTCAATAAGCAGATCAATTCGAATAAGCAAGTCATCTCTCGACAAATGATTGAAAATCTTTGCATAAAAATGATTCGAATGTTTCATGCGAGTTATTCGTTCAGAGATGGCTATTAAATATGGTATGGAAAGCCTTTGGCTTGGAGCAACTGGTGTTGATGGCAGGTACACATGGAAAAGCGGTGAAGTGGTCAGTGCATTTACTTATTGGCGCTTTAATTATGCAATTGCTCATTGTTGGTGATTGAGATCAAAGAGTAAATTCACTCGTTATCTCACACGTCGCATACTTCTGCGAAGAATCTCACGCATATTATGATTATCTTATTTCGCTACTCCCGTGATTGTCGCAAATTACATATTCAACAGATGTAAATTGATCGCAGTTCAAGTTTTTAACTGTTGAATGAAATTTTCACAGGTAAGTGGCTATCAGCCATGGGCAGAAAACCAACCGAATGTTGCTGATGGAAACTGTGCCTTCGAAGACGTTAACACCGGCAAATGGAGCTCAGCACCATGTGATGATGACTTTGTGACTTTACACAGCTTTGCATGCCAAAAAATCGCATGTAAGTAATTCCAATTGAATCGCTAATGTCTTGTTCAGAGCCTGTTCATCGTTTCTTCTGTAATAACCTCAGGTAGACAACTGAATTCAGACCAAAAATCAAATTTCCTTTCCATTCTTGGTAGCATTCAAGACTATTTCGTTTGTTCTTGTCTTCTTTGCACTCGCAACTTCGTTTCGTTGTATTTTGTGAACGATCCCTCAGAAAAATGTGGTTTTCTCAGCCCATTATGAAGTTAAATTGTGGGATGAATTAAATACTCTGAAGAGACCGAGATTCGATGAATAAAGGTTTTAAAAAATTCGCATGGTTTCATGCTATCGCTTGGAGATAAAGTAGTTAGCCATCATTGACCGTATGAAAATCGGAATTGTTTTTCAGGTGACACGAACCATTACTGCAGTCTGGCTTTCATGCAGCCGTAAGCATCAAATGAATCAATCAATAAGTGATTGCTGAATTTATCGGTGGAATATGCAGAAAAGAAAATCCTTGATGGGATAAGATGGTTGGAATTTTGGTGATTTCCATTTGGCTATTTGAGATCATGTCGAGTAGGACCAAAAAATTTTTAACGAATTGAAAGTGTAAATTAGAACTGCTGAGGGGAGGGGTACCTATTCTCCAAATCTGCATATTCCGCTGGATTCTTCCCAATTCTACCTAATAAACATCGTTAACACTTCTCAATAA